CAAAACCCCCCTTCCAGTGCCCCAATCCAAACATTAAGGGTACCAATCTGCTCCTCATTTAAACCTGCATCCATCTGTATACTCAGCGCAATGAAAGGTTGAGTTAAAGCAGAGTTATGGGGCAAAAACTGAGCAGCGGACGCCCATGCATACCTGCCCTTCCAGGCACCCACAACTGGCTTGCAACTTCACAAACAGCCCTCCTAACTTCACCATGTAATAATGCATCTTTCATTGTCTCTATCCAGGAAGTTTGGATTGGTTTGCTGCACCTTCGCGTTTACACCCCCTGCTACCCACACCCTTGCGCGCATGGCACTGGCTCCCAGCCATCCACACAGACCCACCCATTTACCCAAATTGCTCAAAGAGGGTGCCAATCGACAGTTCTCGAGCTCAGGATTCCAAATACATATTTAAAGTTTCGAGAAAGTGTCCCAGAAAAAAAAACTGGAGGGGGTGTCCCAAAAAGTCGAAACCCCCCTTAGACACCCACCCCTACCGACCTTCCCCGTTTGGACCCATACATATACCAATCGATAGCTCTCGGTCCCAGGATTCCGAATAAGGGTGTCCCGGTCGGATTGACAGTTGCCGTCCAAAAGTTACACAAACTCTAGGCTCCTGGGAAAACAGTGAAAAAATTGCTTTAGGGTTAGTACGCTGGACAATACCCAAGTGCACTTCGTGTTTGCTTGGGTGGTGCTACAATGATATCTCAAATGTGCGGTTCTGGATGTGTGGGTGAGGTCTTATGCTTAGGCCAACAGCCGAAGTAATGAATTTTTCGGTTTGCACTTGTGAATTTTGGGCTGGGCACCCCAAACCGACCCACCTACCTCAATGCCTTCCTTCAAGCGCCTCCATCCAGACAAAAAGGAAGTCAATCTGCTTCTCTTGAAATTTCCTTTTCATCTGCATGTTCATAACACCAAAATTATGGATGTGAGTTGCAGCAGAGATATGGAGCAAAAACTGAGCATGGTCTAGTCAGGGAATTCCCTTCGAAATGTTCTCAAGCCCCTTCAAAGGACACATTTGCAGCTTTGGTCATTGCGGTGGTTGTGGAATGAGAAGAAAGGCAGAGAAACACCCCTATAGTTCACAAAGGCAATCGATATGCTGAAAATGTCGAAATTCCCTTTCAAAATCTTTGAAATCTGAGGGAAGTTGTTTGTTTTCTGGGGGGCTCTGGTAGTACACGACTCCGGGGCATGCTCGGTTGAAGTCTGCATTTGTAGGACTTGCCCTGGGCTCTGGGCATGGAGCTTTCGGACTTGCTATGTGTAACCAAAATTCTTTAGTTGATTAGGGGTTTGCGCAGTGTGAAATAATTACTGCCCCATCCACATAACCCCTCTCCACCCCTTCCAAGTCCTGCATCCCCAAGCCCCTTTCCTCAACCCCCGCCCTATCCTCGGCCGCCGCTGCCTTCCCTTCCCCTTCTCTCTCTTTCAAGCCCGTCTCAGTCCCCACAACCTTCCTCATCCCCTCCCCCATCTCCAATGCCACCTAGAGGAGTTGCGTGCATAATGATCTCTGCACCCTGACAGCTCAGTATGTGGTCAGCATGCATGCAGACAAGGTGATTGAATGTGTACAGCAATGCAGATGATGATGAAACCATGTTTCAGCTCTGCCCCATGGCTCAAACACGCTTCTATCATCATAATTCCTCACGCACACAAAGCTAAGAGGCTGACTCAGTGGCAGAATGTCACTTCCGCATTTGAGAGCAGCCTTTTGATATTTCCCTGCTGCCCCATTTGCAAGGATCGGCATGTAATTACGTGTGTGTGTGTGTGTGTGTGTGTGTGTGTATGTGTGTGTGTGTGTGTGTGTGTGTGTGTGTGTGTGTGTGTGTGTGTG